TTCTCAGTAAATTAAAATAAGGCTGGGATCAGATCTACTTTATGAGGACCTGATTGAAAACAACAAACAAGCTTTTATCAAGGAGCTCCAGTTTAATAAAACAGCTTAATAATAGGATTTTATTTGGCATTTGTGTTTTGAATCCTTATTAACTTCCAGGCAATAAATTTATGTCATTTTTTAATTTGAGAAAGAAAGACGGCTGGATTTTATCAACTGCTCCAACCTCGGTGACCAAAGAGTGAGATAAAGTTTCCACTTCTCACTATTTAATACATTAATAATCTGCTGCTAAATTTGCTCAACAATGTTTAACATATCTTTGCACATGCGCCGTTTATCTGGAAGCATTTTGTGTCTTTGGCAAAAATAAAGTTATTACTTTAATAAATATGGTAGTTTAAAAAATCTTAGCAATGATGTTAAATTTAAGGAATCAGAAAGAATTCTTGAAGAACCTCTGGAATAATTTTTACTTATCCAAACTTACCTAAATATATAAACTAGTTCTACTTCTTATCTTAGCTACGCTCTTAGATTATCATACGCTGACAATGACGTCCGATGCTCTATAACAAAGATAGACTTTAACACTGAAGGAAGCTGCTCATGTTGTTTATTCATGTGTGCAGAAATGTTAAAGATATTTCCATATTTCTTTATGGAATAAATAAGCAGATCAAAGAATGAAAACTGTACCAGGTTGGCAACACGGTCGGTAACCTTCCACGTTCGCACATATTTGCTGTATTGTGCGCCAGCCAGGATCCCACAGAAGACCTCCACCATCATTCCCAGTCCGTAACCTTTATAGCCTCCTGCATTCAGCAGCAAAGCCAGAAAAACACAAACAAGAAGTTAAAGTTCACTGAGATTCTTAACCAACTTTAACTATTTAGGAGACTAACGAGGAAATAAACTGCTCATCATTTAAACTCATATTTAGATAAACAGGCTGAGAAATCTTAATGCAGATTTGATGCCAATTTTAAAAAGCAAGAAGAATATATTTGTTTTTTTCATATTTGAAACAGTAAAGAAACATAAAAAAATGTTTTTACAATTTGGGACCTGAAGACAAGCATGATTATTTCTCAATAATAAAATATTTATTACTCTGTTGTTAATCCAGCCTGTTGATGCAGTTTTCTGCCATCTACAGGTGAGACGTTAAACTAGCTGGGATTCTGCAGCATTAAGCTTTATTTATATACATGATGATGATGATGATGATGATGATGATGATGATGATGATGAAGCTACAGTAAAGACACATGTCATGTAAATCAACTTCAAAGCCCAATTTCACTGATTGCAAAACAAGCAAATAAACTAGAAAACAAAAACATTTTTTATCATAAAGCCAAACTGTGACTGATGTCACTAATTTGCACGATACTAATTAATAAATTATAGTAAGTGTAAATCCCTTTATTGATCCACTGTGGAGAAATTCCCTCTCTGCATTTAGCCCCTCCCCTCGGGGAGCAGTGGGGGGTTTAGGGTCTTGCTCAGGGACCCAGAGTGCCAGTCTGTGGGAATCGAACCGGGAACCTTCGCAGCGCTCTGCTCTGACCACTAGGCCAACACTCCCCAGTCTATATATAGTCTATATATATTATAATATATAGTTTGTGGTTTATCTGAATTTAATAATTATCCTCATTTATTGTTTATAGAATAAAAGAATTGAAAGGATTAGAGTGACGGTAATGATTCTGGTTGTTGCTCAGATTAGTGCGGTAATCTGACCTGTGGCTTCACTGCCGCCGATGGGAACCAGTCCTCCTCCAGTCAGAACACTCTTTGGGTCGGTGGTTACGTGTCCCTCTGGGTCGCAGCCCCAGCCGTCAGGAATGGGGTCGCCTCGCCGCTCATTCAGTTCCACCTACATTAACATTCAACACTTTTCATCCTGAATTCAAATAACTGAAGCATAAATACTTATAGATCCAATGCTGTGCTGTAAAGCTGCAACAGGGTTAATTTACTGAGATCAAGGTTTCTGTTTCTTAATTAACCAAATTCTGCCAGTAAACATCAAACTCTTACCTTTCCAAGGGCTACTGCTGAAGTGGCGGTGTCCAGAACAAAACTGTCTCCATGTTCAGCAGGAGCGGCTACGCTCAGCGGGTTGGTGCCCAAAGTGCGCTACAGAGAGCGTTTTCACATTGTTAGCTTATCAATTCTATGTAGAAAGTTCTAAATCTAGGATAAACAATCTATATTTGGTTTTAAGGCTGAGGGCCTTGGCACTGAGAGAATGAACGTTGGATTTAAAA